TGTAAGAGCTCTGAACAAGAGAAACTTTGTATTTATCATTGTAAGGTGAAAAAAACGATCAATCAGGTAATGATGAGTTAGTTATTATATTAAATTCTCCTCCTTTAATACTAATAGTTTCATCGTAATAGCAAATTGTTAATTTAGAATAAAAATATGTTAACTACAAAATGAAACATACTAATTTTTAAAGTTATATTATGATAAAGTTTTATTTATAGACTTATTACAAGTATGTTATGAAGAAATAAAGCTGTTAATGATTTAAAATTAATACATATTTAAATGTGAAGTGGAACATGTTAATTTTCAAGGTTGTATTATGATCAAGGTTTATTCAAAAACTTATTACAAGTGTGTTATGAAGACAACAATTTGTAAATTTAGAAGTGAAATGTGTTAACTGTGTGAAATAAAACATGTTAATTTTTAAGGTTATATTATGATTAAGTTTTATTCCACGACTCATTGCAACTATATTATGGATTCAGGAGGTTGTTAATTTATAATTAAAATATTTTAATTAACTGTAAAATGAAATATGTTAATTTAGAACCCTCTTTTGATTTCTAATAAGAAGAGCATTACTATCACAAAAAAAGATATTAAAACCACTTCATAAAGTTTTACAATCACTCTTTAAGTCATGTGATATAATTCAGAGTTTGACAGATTTAATAATCATGATTAGGGCTGTTCAATTGTTTTTAAAGGGATTTTGCCTAAGTAAATTGCAAGAAATCCTCACCACACACACATAGACACGCGCATTACTTTACGGATATTTAGTCATTAATACCTTGACTAATTAACACTGGGATTGAGATAGCGGTTGCGGAGGAGTTGTAGAGAATATAGATACCGGCAGCTGTAAATTAGCAAGGTTCTTCCGCGGCTCCATCTGCCAGAGAGTTGACTGGGCTAATACATGATCTATATTTATGCTGGCTCAAATGCTACAGAGAGGTCTTTGTTTTTTTCTCTCCAAATTATATTAAGGCCATTAATTGGGAGAATTGTAATAGAGTCATATAAAAAGAAGATAATTATCAAAAAGTTTTAATAACAAGTGAAAGTTTATCAATTCTTATGTTGGATCTTATCATTGCAAATTGCTCAGATGTTATTATGATTTCATAGTAATTATGTTACTTTCTTGAAATTTTATTGCAATTTCCCCTTATTAACTTGTTGAATAGAGACTACATCTCAACACACCCTTTTAGATACCTTATAGATGAAACTGGGGATTTATTTTGTAGAGGTTGACACGTTGTTTTGAACTATACCAAAAGAGCGGAAAACTATGGTTGACTACCTTGCCAAAGACGTCCCATAGCTTAGAAAGTTAGAAGGAAACTATTGTATTCAAAAATCAACGATAAAATTAGTCTGCGTTAGCTTACTAATCTTGAAAAGGCGAAATACCAGTATATATTTAAAACTAAACATATGGCATTTCGGGAGACTTCTAAGCTGCTGGGTTTACTATAATAAACACTGTTATTAGTTTATTTGCGAAGCACGATCACTGGTTAACAACCGTCCAAACAGAGACTATAGCGCATATGTAATATTCGAGAATAATAGACGTCAGATCATGATAAATTAAATTAATGTCTAGTAACCTTACAGTGGCAATTAATAAGCGGAAAGCATTTTTTTGGGGGGGGGGATTGAATTAACGGGATAAAATAATGCTTAATGCAGCGACAATGTGTGTTGGGGAAGAAAATACTGGCCATCATCAATGGATGGTTTGATCATGCAGGGAGGAGGAAAAGTGGGGAAGTGAATTTTTGGAAAGAGGGAGACACGTACAGTGAGAAGAAAGAAGGAATATGACTGGGCTGTGTTGTTGGGGGTGGGGAGATTTAAAGCATAATGATGGGAGAGGGAGAAATGAAGAGGTAAGAAGGAAGAAAAAATGGGAAACAGATTTGAATGAGATTGTACTAGTGACAAGGCAACTACCTCCATAATATTAATATGAAGCTGCGTTTGAAAATGGGCGAGAATGAGGGACGAAGATTGGGAAGGAAAGGGCCATATGGACATTGTACCGCACTTGTATGAGAGCAGTAGAGCACTAAGGGGGGTTGTGGTGTGATTTGAGAGCAGAATCTAATGGAAATAAGTAAAAAAGACACATTCGTAATGGGGATTATCATAATGCTAGTGATGACTGGCTGGCCAAAGGCAACCCCCCAAAAAAAAAAAACAGGAAAATTAAGACACAAATGATGCTGCCGACTGTTAATTTCAGATAATTACCTCATGATGATTGCCTTTGAACCTGTTACTGTTGCCCCCTCTCCATCCCCTAATTTTAATTACTACCTCCGGTCCTTAATACAATACCTTATTTGACTTTTATTTTGATCATAAATATAAGACTCCAATCCATTTTGTCTCTCATATTTATACATTTTTTTCCAAATTAGCCCCCATAACAATGATAGTTCTAGTCAATACACTTGATTAGCAATGATATTTTAGGAAAGACAACACCTATTTAGGACAAATAACTAACTCAATTTACTTCCTTAATCTCCTCAAATTAATCAACTGGCTCTTATAATTAAGACCGGAGGTAGTAATATAATCCCCTCTTCTAAACTTTATGTTAATTATGAATATGTATTGTTAATTACGGTGTTTACACGGCAGGCATATAAAGCATACTTTTTTATACCATCTCTTATACTTAATATAGGAGTTTATTATATGTAAATATAAAACCTTAATAATCCTTGCTTTCGCCTAAATTTATAATTAAAAAAAATCCTATTGATTACATACGCTAATTGGGGAAATCTTTCATCAATCAATGAGGTAGTTTTAAATATAAATTATTAAAACAGGGTTCTCTAATAGATCCAACCCGCATTTTATAATAAATAACCGATTTAATTAATGTTTTAAGATAATATAAATTTTCTTGTGTGAATATTTCGATCAGTTCTTAAAAATAGCCGGCCGTCGGCGACGTAGACCACAATTTGTTGTCAAATTTTTGTTGGCATGTCAATTTATAAATCAAATGTATATGTTGTCCGCAGTCAATCAAGTGCCTTAAACGCACTAATTAATAGTTAACTCTTGATGTTTAGAAGTTGTAAACGAGCTTTCCAATCATCGCTTTATGCAGACCAATCAACCAATATCAAATAGTAAATTCAGATGGCAAGCAGCATTACTTAAAAAACTATGAATGACGTAACAAATATGTCTGCAAAATACTCTTTCCAAAAAAATTAAGTAAATTAGTTAATTATAAGAAATAAAATATATTTTTTCTATAATATCATAATCATTTTTCTTAATATCATTTTTTTCTCTTACTTAGTTATAGTTAAGAGAATATCAATAGAGATAACTTAAAAAAAAGTGATAAATATAATAAATAGGTTTTATATTTATGATTAAAATTAACTTAACAATCAATCCCATGTTAAGTATGGGAGAGTATCATATAGAATGGAGTTCCAGGTCTAGTCAATGTAATTAATATCAATATTATAAATAGAGATACTATTCATAAATAAAAAAAAATTATCCAATTTGTGAATATTTAAATTAAATTTTTATTTTCAATGTTCTCTCTCAGGGGGTAATGGTTGCCGCATATTATCAAGAAAAAAATTGACATAACTAGACACGACTATTACAGCTACTAATTAAACATAGCATGTACGGTTAATTGGTCGATTAATTATCAGGTGTTGTTTTAGTGAAAGGAAGGCGCTAATTGCTATGTCACCTCTTTGATTATTGCAACGTACAACGTGATAACGTGTCCCTCGATGTTATTATTAGATCGCCATTTGGTGATTTGTTGATGTTGTTTGGGAATTGCCGTCCCTACAACATCAAAACAAATTCAAAATTAGAAATAATTTGACAATTTGAATACTTAAAACTCACAAATCACCATGATGCGATATGATGGTCCCTAGATCAACCGCTCTAATTAAACAATTAAACAAATTATCTAAACAAAAACGACGGCCATTTAAATTAAGCCTCCTCAGAAATTAGAGCATGCTCGGGTATAGTGACAAGCATGTGAATGTCTTATTCCTTTCTTCTTTTTTCTTTTTTTTTTCACCCGAGTGAATGTCTTATTGCTGAAGCTTCCCAATGGACTGATTATTGCATTACGAACAATATAATAATGAATTTTTGTACTTGAAATCAAATTTAAATAAACGGCGAAAATAAATCACGTGTAGAAACAGTGCAGGTATTCGAGATCCTCAAATATTGTCTCGTCCTAAAGCACCTTTCCGTGTAAGGCAGCCCCAACTTAGCTTAAAAAGTATAGATATTGTTCGGACCTTTGGTTAAAAGTTAGTGCCATGTCCCTCCATATTTTATTTCATTTTTATTATCAACCTTTTTTTTTATTTTTAAAATTGACCCTGTATAACAATAACTTTCCTCAATCATTAAAATTCTACCAACGGTTCCCTAATAGTAGTAGTTTTGAAATTTTAAAGGCGAAGTTCTAAAATTGAACCCTGAGAAATCAGAGTAATTTAAGGTAACCTCCCGGCAAAGTTACCACGGCCGAGAAAATTAAGGTTTGTTTTTGTTCAATACTCACACTTCCCTAATCCGGGTCACCGTATTCCATGTTTCGGGAAGAAAATCGTAGTCGGCAGCGTACAATTTAAGAAAACATACTAATGGATTAAAATATTGGGACTTAATTATATATTATATAATAATTAAAAGTGAAATCCAACACAAAACAAAAAGCCGACCCTACATTGAACACGCACACTCAAATGAAAAAAAAGCAGTGGCACCAGCTAGCTACTAGCTACCTCATGTATCTTTTTCCCTCAGTCTAATTAAGCTGCTCGCTGCTTTCATGGCGCAGAAATTTTCAAATACAATAGTCAATTCCTCAACTCCCACACGTACCTTTGTTCCTATAAATACCCTTCTTCCCCCGCTCTCTTTTCTTCCTCACCAAGCGTCCCTCTTCTTCTCCTTCTCTCTTGTTCTTCTTTTTTCCTCCTTCTTCTCCCCCCCTCCCTCTTTATGATCTTCTGAAGCAGATCAGAGTAAGGAAGAATCTGTAAAGCTCAGGAGGGATAGCGCCGCGACACTGAAGATCCTTATCACTGCAGTGTACTTGGCGCTATCTATCCTGAGTTTCACGGCTTCTTCTTACTGCGTATATACTCTCACCAGGTTCAATATCTGAGAACTGCGCACCCCATGTTTAAAGATTCATGGTTTGGCATCTCTCTCTGAATGATTAAAATCCTTCCTGTATTATTTTTTCTCCATTTACATGATCGTTTCTGGATTAACTTCTTGTTTACTTACTGATGATTTATCAGGATTCAAATCTAACGTTACAAAAATGCTACTGAAGTGGATTTGTTTTGTTCTTGGTATTTTGCGTGGTGTGGTTTATGTGGTAAACAAACTAAGGTGAACGCTTTCCAGTCACTTTGTTATCTTTGTTCTTTCAGTCTTGTACCTGTGGAGCCTGTTAAACGGGTGTTTTTAGCGACTACCTCTTCTCTTCTCTGGTTCAAGAGGCCGAGAAAAGAGGTGGGGAGGAATTTTAACGCTCGTGTGTAGTCCCTTATGATAGATACAGGCTGACCTGGTTTTAATCCCACAGAAAAAAATTTTGCCTCATGATTAGTTCATTCTCTCGACCTCACGTTCTGTGTAAAAAGAGGTGCTTTTTTTTTCCCCTTTTGTTTCATTGCTCGATATTTAGTGTCATGTAGGGAAAATTATTTTATTCACAGTTGTACTTAGTACAAAAGTTGGTCTTTTTAGCTATGAAATTGGTCTCAGACTCGGTTCTCCGTAACGTGTGTTCTTGAATTTCAGAGGCTTTTTAATCGGTTGCCCTAGGGGGATTTCTCTCAGGTCACGGGATTCACTTTTGAGGATTCTAGAGGGAGCTCGAAATGCCTTCTTATCCAATAGAAGGACGGAGACCTTCTCCTAACTTCGCAAAGCATGTTTTGATTTTCGAAGCTTGTGAATGTCTGATGCTTTGACCAGTTGGCTGGCTGACATGTACAAAAAGATACGAGCTTCTTTTTTCCCTAGTCACTGACAGAAGGTCTAAAAGTATATTGTTTGTATTTTCATCATGTTTTCTGAGAACCGTATTGATGAGTTGGTTCGCTTTTTAATGGCGAGTCTGATCCAAACAGGACCCTACGCAACCCCCTTTTTCCTTTCTGAGCTCGATCTGAAAAGCAAAACCCTAGTGTTTCCTTGCAGCGACAGGGAAGCTATTTCGAGTTAAGAACTGTACCCGATGGGCTAGGGTTTCTCTATTTTATTTGACTGCAACATTTGCAGGCCTTTTCGTCAGTCATAATGGTGCGTTAGTTACTGTGGATGTTGACTCGTTTCCAACTGGGTTCCGCTCACATGTCTCGTCCCTTTCGTCTCCTTCCATTATTTACTTCCCTTCATAATCTTCATCATTAAATTCCCATTAAAAGCAATGTTTATGTAAGAGAACTACATTTAATTAATTACCCTCTCTGTCCCCTCCACCCACGTACTCACACACCATCACAAGTTTTCTTTTGTCGCATTTTTTTAATTCATGACCCCATGCAGCAAGTAATTAAATATATATCAAATGGGCCAAATAAATTAGAGATTTTCTCAGTCTTGCAGATGATGATGCTGAGCTTGACCTCAAATTCAACCGCCCTTTTTCCCCCTGTTCTTTTGCTTCCTTTCCTCTTCCGTGTTACTTATCCATTTCCTGTTAAAGATGCAATGGGAATCATATGGTTGGCCATTATGAGAAATTGGGATGTAATATAATATCTGAATGGACTTGTTTTAAAGATTTACAAGTTTGAATCAACTTTAGGGCACAGGATGTGCCTTGATGTACGGGGACAAAGCAGCCAACTGTACTGTATTAGATGTCCAAGCTTCTCCTGTTAATTATTTATTGCACATCTTTAGTTGAATAAAGCAACATATTTGTACAGATTTTCATCTCTTAAAAACTAAAAAGGACTTGTAGGTGCTGTGGCTGAACAGGATTCACCACCTCTTCGCACAGTATTATGTTTGCCTTTAAAGATGAGTTTGAATTGTTCATCAGAATATAGTACTTCACGATGAACTCAAGGTTGCTTTAGTACTGTGGTGAACAAACATAAAATATACATACAATCGCTTTTTGTTTTGGGAGTATCAATTTCAGACATAAATAAGCTAGCTGTTAAATGTAGCGTACATTTATATTCTCTTGCACACAAACACATATAATATACAGAGAGAGCTGGCCGGAGCAGGAATTAATTAGGGCAATGCTGCAGCAGTGAGAGTGGCAGACCAAAATGATTATACTGGTGTGAATTAAAATGATTCCTATCATCAACTGGCTCAAGCTTTGGAGACCAATTAACCAAAAGAAAAGAAAAATGAAGTTCTTAATTCCTTAATCCATACCCGTGGTTCAGCTGGGTCAAGCTTTTGAAATGTAGTAGTTTTAGTGTAACATACTCTTTCCCATTGTCCATAATCGATGCAAGTGATATTTCAGGCGGAGTTTGATGAGGTGGTGGTTTGAGTCGAACCAATCATACATGATTATGGTAGAAGTGTCGTTGTGTCAGCAAGAACAAGACCATTGGAAATCATTCTTAAAGTAATGAGTGTGCTCGTTCGTGTTCGTGTTCGTGTATGTATGTTGTGGTGGGGAAGAGTGTCTTCAAGCGGACAAAGCATGATGTGCGAAATAAATCATTCTTACACAACTGATAGCCATTTATTTATTACTGAGATTGAGAAACAGATATAGCAGCTCATTAGAATGTAAACTTCTTTTCATTAGTCAATAACTGTCTTGAGGAAAGGTAAAGTTTGAATTCTAAATATGGTTAAGAGCCATGGTGCCTCTCACTGTTGAATCTAGGGCAAGTATTTTCTAAGTTGGCCAGTAAACATGATGAGCCAAGAAAATGACTTTGCAATCACATTACTTCTAGCCTTACACTGGAGTACACACCGGAAACATTTCCCATTTTGGATCCGGAATTGCCCCTCTTAAAAGTTGACTGTATTTCAAAGAAGCTAAATATGGTTATGATATTTGGGAAGATATATGAGTATTGGTGAGGAATATGAATCACGGGGTTTTGATAAAATAATAATGAAGAATAAAAGAGACGGCTAGGGAGGAGCAGGTGGTGGTGGGACTGTGGTGTTAATTCTGTAGCCCCTGACACTTGGCGGCTAAAGTTCAGCTGCACTATATTGAATTCCTCTGTATCTTTCTGATCATTGCCCCAGATTTCTATTCATTCCTCTCTGGGCCCACCTTTCTCGTCCCTACTTCCGTTGATCCTCAAAATCTCTCTGTGGGTTCTTCTGCTTCAATTACTAGGCCCTACAATTTTCATGGAATCTTTGTGGGCTCTTATTGTTACCCATCATCGCAGCCCCATCCCCACCAACAATTGTTTCTACTGTTATATTCATTCGGTCCCAACACAACTTAGTTGCCCTTTAGAGGCATGATTTTTGTCCCCCCCCCCCCCAAAAAAAATATCTGGGAAACTCAGACGTAAGATTTGTTAAAAATCAATGCTTTGAAAGGGACAGAGAAGAGATAAACCAGATAGATGTGAATTGAAATGAACGAATTAAATCGACGTGCACGTAGTAGAACAAACAAATTAAACCAGAAGGTGGTCCAAATAATAAATGAGGTAGAGATTAGTTATACTTTCTTCTCGTGCTTTACTTTTATCATTTTATAATTATTTTTAAGCACTTGGGATTTTCTAGAATCTGTAACTACATCCACACCTTTGTTTATTGCGTTATGGCTGTAAATTTTTGTTGCTCAGCTTTAACTCTCATCTGCCGTCCGTTTCCGAACTAACACCAAATAGATACAAACAATGGGTGAAGCGAGTTGTGTAAACAAAATTAGAAATGCTCAGTGAAATGCTTACCTCACAACAAAAGAAAAATGGTGAACCACAGGACTATTGACAGAGACCCATTTCACCTCCCACCATGTCCCACTTTGACGTTAAACCGCATTCCTTCACAGCATCCTCTCTCTCTCTAACCCCCGTGCATGGCTAGGTTTTACCCGCCCCGTTTGCAGCCGCCGCCGCCGGAAGCACTCGACGAATGGCGGTGGAACCTTCATCCACCTCCACCTTCTCAACATCATTTATCCGTCACCTCGCACAGCCAAATTAATGAAACCGTCGTGCTGCCCATCATTTGTCGTCGTGCCCACGACGCTCGAACTAATGGCATCTTCTTTGGGGAAAACCCCTTGGCCTACACTTTCCCTTTCCTCCTCTTCGAGTTCTTTGTCGTCATCCTCCTCACACGCATCATTCGTTTCATCCTCAGGCCTCTCAAACAACCTAAGATCATCTCCGAGATTATCGTACGTAAGCTTCTTATCCTGATTATCACTTTGCATACAATTGTATGTATCTCTGGTGTATCCTCCATAATTTGATTCAATGCTTTTTATATTTTTAAGGCTGGAATCTTGATGGGACCCTCAGTTCTGAGGCACAAAACATGGTTTGCAAAGAATATAGTCACCGGAAATGCCGAGTTTGTGGTCAACAATATTGGCATAATGGGCTTCATGTTCTTTCTTTTCGTGTATGGCGTGAAGATGGACACCAGCCTCATCAAAAAGTCAGGGAAAAAGCATATTTCCATAGCTTTGATGAGTATATTTGTTCCCTCAATATCAGCTTTTTCTGTGGCATTGACCATGAGAAAGAACATGGACAAAGAGCTCGCCAAGATAACTTCACTGGGGGGCATTGCTATGTACTTGGGACTCTCGTCATGTCCATTGCTATTCATCTTCCTCAAAGAGAACAACCTGCTAAGCTCCGAAGTGGGTCGATCAGCTATATCCACTGGTCTAATCGGTGACCTTGTCGGTATAACTCTCGCAGTGGCGTTCGAGGCTGGAAAACAAGGAGAAACAGGAGCTATGCATGCTTTGTGGTATATGATCTCCCTAGCAGTCTATGTGGTTATTTTTTTTGTATTCATTAGAAGAGCGATGGTGTGGATTAGTGATACTACCCCAGAAGGGCAGGCAGTGAAATCGACTTATGTGACTTTAATTCTGTTGGGGATTTTTGTGGCCTCGTTTCTGACTGATTTTGTGGGCTTATCGATCGGAGCCGGGGCGTTATGGCTAGGGTTGGCGATTCCAGCCGGTCCTCCTCTGGGGACTATGATCTTGGAGAAGACTGAGACACTTATGACAGAGTTTTTCATGCCATTCTCGTTCCTTTTGATCGGATATAACACCGATGTTTATGCCATGGTTGCAGCTGGTTGGTCCTATGCGTATCCATTGTTCTGCATGACTTCAACTGCGTATTTGACCAAGTTTTTTTCCACCTGGTTTACTACCATCTATTGGCGAATGCCTTTCAGAGATGGATTACCCCTCAGTCTCGTCTTGAGCTTAAGAGGCCAGATTGAACTTATAATGTTCATGCATTGGCTGGACAAAAGGGTGAGCTCATCTGCCAGACAATTCTTGGTCTATATTCCTGAAACATTTAAAGTAGTGTTTTCCCTTTTTGTACAGGTTTTAATTAATTAATCATGTGTTACATATACGCAGATGATTAATCCACCAGGATACACGATATTAGTGCTGATGACAATAGCAGTGACAGCTATCTTCAGTCCTATGATCATGATCCTGTACGATCCATCAAAGCCATACATGGTGAACAAAAGGAGAACCATCCAACATACCCCTCCGGACGCAGACCTCGTCATCGTCCTCTCCATCCTCGACAGAGAAAGCATAAGTGGCATCCTCAACCTCCTCGAACTTTCTGCTCCCACCTCAAGCAATCCCATGTCCATCTTCGCCCTCAACCTCATCGAGCTCTTAGGTCGAACCAGCCCTGTCTTCTTCGACCACGACAGACAACAAGTTCCTCCCAGATACAAATGCATCCAAACCATCAACGCCCTCACGCAGTTTCAAAGCGTGAAGGGCTTCGACTCTGTTAAGCTTCGTTTCTTCACTGCCATCACAAGCAAACAAACCATGTACCAAGATATATGTGAGCTAGCCTTGGAGAACAAAGCCACTCTGATCGTGTTATCCCTTCATCATGAAGCTGTCACTCACAACCTCGAAGGAGCAATAGTGCCAGGGGGCGGATCAAGGACCATAATATCCAGTGTTTTAACACAAGCTCCTTGCTCCGTCGGGATTCTTGTGGACAAGAGCGGGAATCTCGGGAGCCGCGTCAGAGGACATAACAGTGTCCATGGTTCGTTTAGTCGTTCAGGACACAAACTTGCCGTGTTGTTTCTGGGAGGGGCGGATTGTAGAGAGGCTCTAGTGTATGCGGATCGAATGGTGGCGAGCAACGAAGAGTTGAGTCTGACGGTGGTGAGGTTTCTGGCGTTTAACCACGAAGGGGAGACTGAGACGGAGAAGAAGCTGGACGACGGAATGATGACCTGGTTCTGGGTGAAGAATGAACGAAACGACAGGGTGGAATACAGGGAGGTGGTGGTTGAGGATGGCGAGCAGACGGTGGGAGCAATTCAGATGATGAACGATGGAAGTTATGATCTGTGGATCGTGGGGAGAAGACAGGGGATGAACCCTGTGATTCTGAGTGGGTTATCTAATTGGAGTGAGAACGAAGATTTAGGAGTGGTAGGAGACTATATTGCGTCTGTAGATTTTAGTAGTTCTGCTTCTGTTTTAGTTATACAGCAGCAGATCCTTAGAGGGTAAATGGGTTTGTTTAATTTGAAGAACATTGTTCAGTATTGTTAAGAAAAATCAGCGACTTGGGTAGTTTTTAGGGTTGTATATATTACGTACAAGCATTCAAGATTAATACGAGTCACGTTCCCAGACTCTTTCTTTGTTTCTTTGAGAATTCTGCTGACTCAGGGATGAGATGAACTGATGAAGTTGCAATAACGCGACAGGGGCCTCTCGGCTCTGATTGTTTTAAATTCTCTAGTGTACAAATTGAGGCATGGAGTGCCTGCTTGATACCTTCCAGATCAATTTTGACCGTAATTTTTTTATAAAAGAAATGTATTCACATAATCATATTTTAATCAAACCAAGCCCCCAGTTCAACACTCGTATTTTGATCACAGTTTTAAGCTTACCATTAATAATTAATTTTAGTATGTATGATATTGTTTGGATAAATTTCTCAGAAATCATGGTCTTGCATGTTTTCAGTTATGCTAAAAACCAATCCTATAAATCAATTTTATAAATCAATCACAACCAAATTCAATTTTCCTACTAATAATCATACAGGTATTTTTGCTATGAAAATAAACTTTCATGACACATGAAAGTAAAAAAAACTTTCAAGTGTTGAGTGTTCCTTTGTGGATACTTCTGAAGTATTTAAATACATGGTAAAAATAAAAAACAAATGATGGAAATTTTAATTTAATCTTTATCGAGTGTAAGTAAGATGCATCACGCGGAATTCAAAAAAGAAGTGCCCTATTTATGACCCAGAATCGTTGAATCACAAAAGCTTTTATATTTCATATTAATATTAGCAATTTCAATATTTATTACTACCTCCCGTTGTTAATAGAAGACTTCGTTTGAATTTTATTTTGATTCTAAATATAATAATCTAATTCACTTTGTCTTTCATATTTATTTATTTTTTCTCAAGGCAGTCCTTTTAATAATGGTAGTTCTAACTAATATACTTGATTAACAAGGATATTTTAGCAAATATAACATATGTATATAACAAATAACTAACTTAACTTATTTTTTTAATATACTTAAACTAGTTAATTTATTCTTATATTTAGGTTCGGATGTAGCGTTTATCATTAGCAAAGAACGCGAGATGCTTTGATGAGGCCAACGTGAAGCATGTCCTCGTTAATTCGGATGCACAAATTCACTGGATACAGGCCCAATTAATTTTACCAAGTTTTTGAGTCCAAGCCTAAAATCTCTAACAAGTTTTTATGTTTTTGAAGCGAGGGACCAGACTTTTAGCTCCAATGTCCACAAATGCATCAGTCTGTCACAGAGGACTCCAGTGCAACATTCTTTTGGGATGCTGGTTAAAAAAAAAAAAAAAAAGGCAAGATCTTTTGGGATCTTTATCCTCTTCTTTATAATGACCGATTGATTACGGCTTTGCCCTCTTTTATATTCCCAAAAAAAACAAAATCAGTCTAATTATACATGTATATATAAAGATAAGAATTGATTGATGGCGAATATTATTAAATTTACAAACTTAATCACATGCCTTTCCCCCGGACGAACAACCCACTTACAAGTCTAATCCAGAAATCTCAGAGAGGTGCAACGTGGACCGTACGATCAATTCCCAAACGAATTTTTCACAGAAGATCAACGCTCAATGAGGAAGTCACAGGATAAAGAGATTTGCTCACATGCAGCGGATCAGTGATTCGTGACGCACAGTCTCAGCTCAATCCATAGCTTCAGCCATTCCAACTGGCTTCATTGTTCTCACAGATTTGCCTTCGATGCCACGTGCTTGTCCGGTCCCCGTCGTGTGCTCGTCTTCTTCGGCCTCATATGCCAAACCTGTCCCTCCCTTCGCACCTTAGCCCCCCGTCGCTGGCAGCTGTGATTCAGTGGTACTCCTTCTGAAACCCTAATGTCAAGCAAGGGATCATTCAGTTGGAGCTCCACACCTGGCGAACAAATTTATTAATTGAAGTTACTGCAGTTTCGATTTGGCATTCAGAGTTCGAATTTTTATCTTTTGCATTGTTAACGAAGAAAAATGATGGACTCTGAGGACCAGGGCGTTGAGGAAGCTCATCTCTATGCTTCCAAGGAAGAAATGGAAAATCTTGTCCTGGATGATCCTTTAAGCAGCAAATCGTACTCGAATTACCGTAGTGCCGTGTCAACACTCTCCGACAACCAGCACCCACTCTCGCCGTCGATCGCGGTGACCCCAGCAGACTCCGATCCTCTGCTAGCCCCGCCACATTATGGCGAATTTGGGAACCCTAGTGCCCCTGATAATTCTTACATTGACCCGCCTTCGTATGGTGATGCGATTTTTAGCCCTTTCAATGAGAATAACGGTAATGATGTCAACGTCGTTGATAGTCCCAGCCAAAGTTCGGGCAGTTCGCCGAGTTTCTCCAGATCGTCTTCCGGCTCAGAATATTTGAAAATCACCGTGTCCAACCCGGTTAAGGAGCAAGAAACCTCGAATTCGTTTGTGCCGGGCAGCAATACTTATGTCACCTACTTGATTACGACGAGAACGAACATTCCAGACTTCGGTGCATCAGAATTTAGTGTGAGGAGAAGGTTTAGAGATATAGTGACGCTATCTGATCGGTTGGCGGAGTCATATAGAGGGTTTTTTATACCACCAAGGCCCGACAAGAGTATAGTGGAGAGCCAGGTGATGCAAAAACAAGAATTTGTGGAGCAAAGGAGGGTGGCATTGGAGAAGTACTTGCGCAGATTGGCTGCACACCCGGTGATAATGAAAAGCGACGAGTTCAAGGCGTTCTTGCAGGTTCAGGGAAAGCTTCCGCTACCCACGACAACGGATGTAACGTCAAGGGTGCTTGACGGGGCGGCGAAGCTTCCGAAACAGTTGTTGGGTGATAGTGTAATTGCACCTAATGAGGTTGTGCAGCCAGCGAAAGGGGGAAGAGATTTCATGAGGTTGTTGAAGGAGTTCAAACAGTCCATGGTGAATGATTGGGGAAGTTCTAAGCCACCGGTAGCGGAGGAGGACAAGGAATTCTTGGAAAAGAAGGAAAAGCTCCAAGAGCTCGAGCTGCAAATCGCCAATGCATCTCGACAGGTATTCTTTTGTGGAGGAGTTGTGGTAACAGCTCACCAATGTTTAAGGAGTTATGCTTATTTTTCCCTGCCTGCCAGTTTGCTAATAACTTATTTCTTGCATTCTTATACCAGTGCATGATTATTCTTTTTGTTGTCATTTTTTGTCTGTGCATCAAATTTGTCGCAGGCAGAATCACTTGTCAAATCTCAGCAAGATATGGGCGAAACAATGGGAGAATTAGGACTGGCATTCATTAAATTGACAAAATTTGAGAATGAAGAGGCTGTCTTGAACAGTCAGAGAGTAAGAGCTACTGACATGAAAAGTTTGGCAACGGGTGCTGTCAAGGCTAGCAGATTTCATCGAGAATTGAATGCTCAAACTGTGAAGCATTTGGTAAAACGCAAAATATTTTTATACAAGTTTCAAACTCCACATTTGCCGTTAAGTTGTATGTTTGCATCCACTTAACTTGGTGAATTTCTCTTAATATGCCATAAAAAGTCAGTGACCAACAAAATAATTGCACGATCTTGTAACAGCTTTCAAATTGTATATGATATTTGATGGCAACATTGATTGGCATTTTTTTCATTCCAGAACGATATCTTTATCTCAGGATAGCCCACTCGATATGATGATGATTTTCTAATCTATGCCTGGCAGGACACACTTCATGAATATCTCGGGTTAATGCTGGCTGTCCACGGTGCATTCTCAGATCGCTCAAGTGCACTATTGACTGTGCAGACTCTTATATCAGAGCTATCTTCATTGCAGTCAAGGGCTGAAAAACTTGAAGCAGCGTCATCAAAAATTTTTGGAGGTGATAAATCAAGAATTAGCAAGTTAGAGGAGCTAAAAGAAACCATAAGAATCACTGAGGATGCCCAACATGTTGCAACTAGAGAATATGAGCGGATCAAGGCAGGTTTTAAATGTTTTATAACGTTATTGGTTTCATTATCTAAGTAGAATATGAACATTGGTTATGTAATCCAAAATGGGTATCAAGTTTCGTTGTGTAAGAGTCCGCTGCTTCAAGTTCAAAGAACTCCCTTAATCATATTTTCTTTGTTTTGCAGTCAATCACATTTGTGTCTTGTGCAATTTCTTGGCTCTTGTACAAGTAACTTGACAATGGCATGCTTCAATTTGGTTAATTTTAACCGTCTTAGCTTGTAAATCTGTAAAATTATTTCTTTGCATATCCACCCGCAATGGAAACAATTTGAAGCATAGATGAACTTTATGTTGGTTTGTAGAGAATTCAGTCCCAGGTATTTAGGCTAAAAAATAAAAAATAACAGGGTTACCCCTGTTATCAGGAATCAGAACCAGTGTCTGGCTAGTTAAACTTTGTAAACGCCAAGTTAGGTGGGATTTAATGTACTGTTCATAAGCTTGCTTTGCATGCTCATTTCTATAGTCTTTTCCATGATGGAGGCTACAGTAATTTCCTCTTTTAGTATCTTAATTTGAATTATAGGGTCTTTGTTTAAAGTTAACACACTGTTACATGATAAAACATTGTAGGGTTGGCCTTCTTCATTGTTGTTAAATTGCTGTCTCCTTTTAAGGCCTTAGCTTCCCCCCAGCCCACACCAATCTGTTTTCAAGAAAGCATTTTTTAACTGCATTTTGTCAAAAATGTCTCTACTGAACTGCTTGCCGTGGTTTTCATTCTTAAATGATGATTCATTTGGGAGCAACTTGTGTGAAATATTATGAACTTCTCATTTAATATAAATCCTAATCTGCTGGAATTCATTTGATGCATGAACTTTTTTTCATAATTTTTCTGTTACCAAGTTTGAACATCTCTTGTGCTTTGCTTCTTATCTTTATAAAGGGTTATTTTTTATGCTTCAATATGTATATTGCATGGAAGAAATAATCAGATATTAATTGAATTTCAGTCTCGGTTTTGTCTTCAAATTCTGATCCGTTCTGCTATCCCCTATAGTACTCCTCTTTTATTTTCTTCTGTTTCATTTCCTTTATTTTTAGTCCTTGAAACTCGATTTATTTCTGGAAATATAGAATATATGTCTTTGTTTCATAGATTGATAATTTAATTAAGCCGGTTTACTTTGTGCCCAGGGGTTTCGTCATGGAAGTAAGTAGAAACCCAGCATTTGATGCCCGTGTTACTGTCTTCTGTAACCTAGATTAACGTCTCGTTAATTATTTGCTAGCAGTATGGTTGAGCTCTTGCTAGGTCGAATGAGCAGATGGATATCGGTGATTGACTTTCGACTATTTTAGTACCATATCATAGAAGATGAAGTTTACTTGGCAGTCTTGGCTGTTGCATTCGAGCTCTTTTTGGCAGTATAGTTGATTTTTACTTTGCATAAAAAAATTGATTCAATATATTGATGGATTGCTCATATACTAAACTATAGAATAGGTAACGACGATTGTCAGAGGTCCCCTTTTACCTTTAATTAAGTTACTTTGCACTCGTGTCTATGATTTAGACTTTCTTTGTTATGGTTGAGTCATTAAATCCGTTCTGTCTGTGGAAATAGTTGTCTGAGCTTTGTTATTTGGTTATGAGCTCCATTTGATTTTCCTGTTATTTTTTCTATACCTCAAATTCATATTCTGACGGCTTAATTTAATTATCAAGTGCGTCATCTAACTGTTTCTCTAGTTTTTTGAGATGAAAGAAGATAGTTTTATAAAGAGAAATAAGTGTTACTTCGTAGCTGGTATATATTGATTTGGTTGTCGTCTCTATGCATCCTCAGATCTCTGTTCCTTTGTTCTTTACCAAAAAAATTCATGGGTGCGCGTATATACTTGTTTATGTATATTACTTAATCATTGATACAGAATGCTTGATGACGATGTTAATGCAGGAAAATAATAGGACGGAGCTTGAAAGACTTGACAGAGAGAGGCAAGCTGACTTTTTAAACATGTTGAAAGGGTTCGTAGTTAATCAGGTATGAGCATGCCTAGTGATTATTCTCTGTCATATTTCATTATCAGAGTTGCGCAGGAACCTAAGCCTCTCTTTAAAAAGAGAAATTAGAATGTAAAACTTTCTTTAGTAGTCTCCACAATCATTTAGAGTATCAGCTGGAGTGTAAACTATAAGATGATCCAGCAATTTACACCTTAATAACATTTTCTTGGGCTCCGGGGTTAAGATAACACCTTAATAACATTTACACTTTCTTTAGCAGTCTCCACAATCATTTAGAGGCTTTTTTTTTTCCGGGGTGGGGGTGGAGCATTGCAGACTTGGACTATTTCCCAATTTGTTATTTTGTGTAATATGGAGGACGATGGAAGAACCAAGTATTCTACTCAATGTTGGGAACAAGTCTTGTCATTGCGCACTTGCTGTTTCTTAGATCACCTCTCGCAACCTTCATTGCTGTATTCTCCCCATCTTAAGTATGCTTCTTTGTGGATCAGGTTGGATATGCTGAGAAAATTGCAGATGTCTGGACGAAAGTGGCCGAGGATACCAGTAGATATGTGAATGATGATAGCACTTGATCAAAGTGGCTGTGAATTCTAATCTCTGCTTTTCTATCTTTTCTTTTCTTTTCCCCCCATATTCATGTGCACCGTCACAAAATAGGTTCACAATCATGACAATAAACTAAAGGAAGCACATATTTAGGCTTCTGGGCTTGTGTTTATTCAACTTGCATCTCGTAGTACTTTTTTTTTTGTTTACTTGATGCTGTAAATTGGACGCGTTCGACTCCACCTAGCCTAAAACTCGTACATGATGTTGTGGCCAGGCCTAATTTGCTTGAGTTTGTAGAGGGATCTATTTTTTCAACGTCACACCCCCTACCCTTGCCATGATTCCTTTTCATTGATCAAGGATTAATGGATGACTGAAGTTGAATTTTGAGAGAGGATCTGAATTGTAACGTTCTTGGGCTCTTCCGCTCTAGCAAATTTCTTGTACGTCATCCGATCTTATCTCGAATTTCATGTCCCCCCCCCCCCAAAAAAAAAAAAAGGGGGGGGGGTATGTAGGTTTCATTTCAGAGGCTTAAAGGGGGGGGGGACCAAGAGTTCATTTCAGAGTTCTTACTGCAATTAATGAGTCTTTTTTTCCTCAAATATCCTTATGGGAAATTAAAATTGCTATAGGATGTACTAATATTGTTTAGGGGGGCATATGAATTCAGATCTGTCTCCTGGCCACGCTCTGTCGGCTCATAAGAATCGTCCTTCCCGGCCTTCACTGTGGTCCACGCTGGTCGAATATTCCTGCAACAAATTTTCAGATTATATGTTTTTATGGCACTCTGCTTCTGTTTCTATGTGTAGGCTACAAGAGAAAATTTGTTAAATCATGTAATTAATAATATTTTTTCAATTTTGCTTCTATTGAATACAATAAAGAAAGTAGATGAAAATTTGCGTCTTATTCCTTTTAATACCCTTTCTTTAATAATAGGAGAAAATATGAAAAAAAAAAATTAATTTATTGCTTTTTTTGATACCTAAGAATGATGTATAATAGAGGGGCATGATGCAGCAGACGCAGTGATCCATTAAGTAGTTAGTATCTTTATGGTTCTTAGATGACATATATTCACGACCTAGAAAATTATGATTCTTGATCCAACTGATGGAAGTAGATCCTTGAAAAAAGCTCCTTCGCCGCAATGTACCTGAAGTGTTTGAGCTCTTTTTCCCCCTTTGAACAGCTTGTTGACTGCAGCTGTAATATTTTCCTGCGTCATAAGAGCACCTTCACCGTTTTTAGCAGCAGGTCCACGAAAACGCCTTTGATTCCTTTCTGGAAACTTCTCCCGATTTTTGCGGCCCTACCTTTGAGAGCCACACTGCACTTTTGTGTGTGTTAAATATAGGTATCTTTTGTTTAAGATATTGTTGACTATTAAATATAGGTATCACTTCCAATAAAATTTGAATCTTAATTCATCATACTGTGAAGGACTAAACCTAAATCTGGTTGGTGAGATTCACACTACATGGAAAATAAAAAAATCCAAGTCTGTTAATCATTGGCTCAGAATCTCAAACATGCCAACTACTCTGAAAATATAGTCAGAGTAATTGAGTCATGGGTTCTTCACATACTACTCCTGGTCTCAGATATAAGAGATAGACAGAATTTATTTCAGTCCTAAATATAAGACAATCTATTCTGTCTTTTAAATGTATAATTTTTTGTCTAAAATATTTCTATTGATTACGTATATGAGGAGGCTCCTAATCTAGAACAGTTTTAATACATATGATTAAATATGATAGTTTTAAAAAATCAAAACATATTTACTTAAGATAATTAACTTAACTAATTTTTTTAATATTTACATATTAGTTGGGAGGTGGTAATTCATTGGAAAAGAACCTCACAAGGAATTAGAGAATAAACACTTGAGCAGATTCCGTTCGTCCGGGAGTAGTGTCCTTAGAACGTTGTAGGAAATCTTATTCCAACGTTGGATCTTGTGCTCGAGGAAGCTCAGGCATCTTGTCAATCTCGTTGAGGTTCAGCTTCTGTGTCCGAATTCTCGAGAGCTTGTCGTTCAATAACCGATCAAGACATGACAACACTCATTCGCAAACCCAAAAATCACTTTGTTCTTCAGTTTATCTTCGATGTTGGTGGGAAATTGAACTCTCTTTTCAATAGCATAATAGCCATTCTCACTGTTATCATCAGCTCCTGCCTCAGCTTCAGCGTCGTTCGCTGCATCGGGTCCAAGGGCCGCATGATCATTGATACTAACATATTGGCGTTCCAATAAAAGCAAGCCACAGGCTTTTCATCATAAGTAAATATATGACTAAGCCCAGAATAAAGTTGAACAAATCAGTTGTCAAAGCCAAGGACAATCTGCATAGACAAACTCAGAGCCGCTACAGCAAAGGGAACACAGGAAATCAAGCTCACAGGGTCTGAATCTAGTTTTCCATCAGAGAAAAAGGAGAACAAAGAGGAAAGCATTAGAACTAAGAAACCTGCATGGATTTTGGGCAAGAGAATCCTCGGAAGTTGCCACTTGTGTGGCCCCAGCATGAAGCCCGAGATAATGGCACTTATTGCAACATAGAGAAACACCTTGCGAAAATTTCACTGTCCGAGCAAGAGTTCGAACGGCGAACTCAGAGCAAAACAGAGCGGCCCAATAAGGCTCACCGCAAAACCTTCAAACCTCCACAGCTTAGGCTACATTAGAAAATTTTGAATTGAGGTTGAAACCATCGTTGTCTTGCTGAACTTGAGCGTTTTTGGAACTGGTGTCTTGCTACTTGAGCGTTTTTGGAACTGAGGTTATATTAGAGGGTTGAGTGATATGAAGGAAGACGAGCAAGGACATGCATGAGTGATATCGTCATAGAGGACGGTAAATTTGGCTTTAAGCAATTTTGCTTATGATTGCGGGGTGAAATCTAGGAGAGACGGTGCCATTTTTTTTGTGGCCTTGTTTCAGACTTTGTAAGTTGGAGTATATTTCTCGGAAAGAGGCTAGCCATTTTCTATTGTTTATTGGGTTTTTCTTGACATGATGCCTTTTCTATGATTCGAAATAGGGGAAAACTTCCTCTAACGAAATCATTCATTGAAAACCGAGAGGTCAGATTGTATTAATAAGGATAAGAAACGGTGCAAATGGACAGGAAACTGGAGATAGGAGATTATCTAGTACTGAATTGACCGATTAATGCAAGGCGAAATCCGAGCAGTAGATTATAGTATTTCACTATTTTTTATTTTTTGGGATTCTAAAGTTGCATAATTTCAATGGAATTCAGATGGCAACTCTAGTTATTGTATTGTTGAACATGATTGTGCTTTTGACAAATTCTCTTTGCTTCTACGATGAACATTTTAATATGGCCATCAATCTTCTACGTGGAGAATTTCTGTACTAATTATGTTAAGTAACCGTCTAAGTTACATAAAAGCGTTTCCCAGAGCTGATTTGTTAGCAGGCAGGCAGAGATGAAAGACAGACCAAGTGCTTCACCTCAAAAATGTAATTTGCCCTAATTGAAGAATAATAATCCATATAGTTCTGATATAATATAATAACTACGTAGTTATAAAAGGTCCTGCTTCTCAGATGTACCACTATGCAAACTTTGGACTACTCCTAGGAGGCCCATAAAGCCTTTCAACTAACCCCCAATATTCAAGAAAAATATGTGAATGTATGTGTATTTAAAAATAAAATATAAAAAGGAAAAAACTTGAAAATGATTGAATCAAACTGCAGGGGGTCCCACGGGGATACCCAGAGAAGATGTAGGCCCGTTGTTACGAACAAAGGGAAAAAGTCCAGTAGGCCACGTGTCCTGTTCGTCGAGAAACAGATCCTCGGGGGAGCGAAATGCCCCATGAACGCACACTAGCGCCATCCCCAATGCGAAAGCCGAGAGGAGCAGCGACACCACGCTGGTCCCCAGAATCACGACGACGGTGACCAGACTCAGTCCAATCAGGGCCTCGCAATCTGTGAACCTCCGGCCGAAGATCACGAGCTGCTGATCTGGGGGCCGGAGAATGTAGAGGAATAGCCAGGCTCCGATCACGGCGATCAGGAGCAGAAGGGACAGGGGATGAGAGAGGAGGGAAACGGCGAATACGAGAGCCAGAATGAGAAGGTAGTTGATGCGGAAGTAGTACAAGTTCTTCCGGATTCTGGAGGCGGCTTCGGCGAGCGATTCGGGCTTGGTTATGCCGGTCCGATCGGTGAGTTCGGTCCAGGGGCGGCGACAGGCCCACGCGCGGTGGACGTGGCGGGAGAGGTTGGTGAGAAAGGTTTCCAGAGTGGCGATCGCAATGCTCATGGTGAGCTTGTCGGAGGAGGAGATGCGAGAAGAGGCCATTGGTGGCGGCGGCAGAGATGAAGAGATACTGTGATATAGTGAAGTTCAAGATTTGTTCGCTTTGATCTGGTTTGCCTTTTATCAAATTCCGTAAGCCTTGAGGTAACATGGAAGCAAGATTGGGTGATTGAAATTTAGTGTGATTTCCTTAGATTTAACGACATCTGCATATTAAATCTCAAAAAAACGTGCCGGGGGGGAAGGTGACATGAGGATTCATTCACAGCATATAGAGATCCAGATCTGGCTTGGGAGTGTTCGATTTCTCGATCTGGAAGTGATTGGAAAATGATTGAAAAAGCGCGCGAAATTGGGTACGGAACTAACAGTCGGTTATAAAATTGATTATTTTGGCTTCTGATATAATTTATGCGCGCACACACTGAAAAAAAATGATTATTTCTGATTTTGTTTATTGATGGGTAATTGGGCATAATGATCCATAGAAGTCTAATCTCATTTTCCTTGCTTACAAGTCAGTTAATATAGGCTCGTCTTAATAAAAATTTAAGCACACCCGCCAACAAACATCGATGCAGGACCAATATCTTCGCATCGCCCTTTCCTTCATTCTTTTAAATTAAGGTTTTAAAATAGATCAAATTTTGGATACTTGAATTAAATTAATTTGTTTATTTTAATACTCATACTATGTTTCGTAAAATATGAAATTTAAATACCAGATTCATTTGAACCGTAATAAATCTGCAGGACCAGTCAACTCTACCGCCGACGATGCCTGCTTCTTTTCATACCTTGCTCAGAATGTCAAGCTTCAGTGTCCTGTAATTGATGGCAGCATTTGCGGGGCTTGACCGTACAAAGCCAGGTTGGCTCTGCCGATAATTTAGGCAGATAATGAATCCACTTTTCGTGTTAATTAAACAAATCACCTTTTGAAATGTACTTATCACTATGCCCAGCGTCCCGATTTATCTGAAAATGGAAGCTTCATCAGAGAGTTGGCCCTGAAGCCTAATCTATCTGGATATCTCATCGGCTCAACGCATAATATCATTATGACTTGAGTTTAAATAAGATTGACTAAGCAGAATAAATCTTTCCATTTTAATCTAAATTTCAATACTTCTCAGATATTTTTTGAGGAACCTGAATGCTTCTCTAATCAGAATTCCTTTTTTCCCCGTTGCCTGTTTTGCTTCTCAAGGTCATCAAAGTAAATTTAAACCTCATTTTTGGCTGAACTAAATTGTCATTTTTGAAGAACAAATATGCATGTTTTCTTTCTTTTTTTTCACGGACTCCATCAAGTCCAAGGTAAACTATGTTTTTAATTTAATGACTTGTGAGTTGTGTATTTTTAAACTCATTCAAAAACAAAAAGAGAAAAAGAGAATTGCTTCCCTGCCCCAGCACCAAGAGGAGACCCCTACAGTCACCGTGGAAAAGATTGGAGCAGCTTGACTGCAAGGGGACAAGACAAAGACAAACGAAGAGAGATTGGAGAGTAAAAAGATTTAGGAGCAGGTGCTGTGCTATACAGCACAACTGAAAAGAAAAAGATGAATTTGCAGCTCTCTGATCTATGAACTTGTTCTTAGATTTTCAATCTTCCCAATTGATGATCATAATTTTAAAAATATTTTTATAATATACAAAATAAATATATTCATAAAAAAAATACTTTTCAAAAATATTTTGGGATTACTCAAACATTTTTTTCAAAAAAATTCCTCCCAGTTTCATCGCCTGCTTCATCACACTTTCTGCTTTTTCACAGAAGTCTACTGGACCCGGGCCTCTTCAAATATATTTTAGGATCATCCAGACATCCACTCTTGTGCCCATCTCCATAATTCATTCACCGTAACATATCCATTATCCAATCCATATTTCCCAAATTCGGTTTAAAAAAAAAAGCCATATTTCCCAAAAAGGTCAGATTCTATTTGGGACGAAACCTATAAATCTTTTTTCCATTCTAATTTTTACCCACCCTTATTCCCTTATAGTATACCCTATACTTTCAGTTTTTAAACTACTTAGAGTGGCTAAAATTTCGTTTAGGTCCCTTATAAATCAAAATGTCTCTTGAACCAATTATTTCTAGACTTTTTTTTTGTCTTATTTGTAAAATTATTTTAGTAAGCTGTGCCTAGCAAGTGCGATATTTTTTCCCTTTAGTATCCCAATATGAACCCAATATTATATTTTTAACGCAATTCTTGTTATGAGCATTTTCAATGGCCCTGTTGACTGTAAGTTCCTTTCTTCGCTTTTGTCCCCACCCCTCTCCTTTTGTTTTATTTTAATTTTATTTTCTTTCTTCATCCTGGTCGGCTATCTCTGATCCTCGCTGTCTATCTATCTCTATCCCTGACTCTGACTTTACTCCCGCCCCTTAAATTTTCTCAACAGAAACCGCGTTTTTCCTGAGTTTGTTTTCCATTATCTCTTCTCTTTCATCTTCATCACACAACCCTCCTCCTTCTGGATTCCTCTTCTCCTTCCATGTGCTCTGTCATGAGCTATTTGACCGGCGGTCAATAAGCTTCCCCTCTTCTGCATAATGGCTGAGAACGGCGAGGAGAAGTTATTGGCCGTTGCGCGTCACATAGCCAAGACCCTTGGTCATAATAACAACATGGCAGATGATATTCTCCAAATCTTCTCTACCTTCGACGGAAGGTTTTCCAGAGAGAAGCTTTCCGACAAAGTTGCCCATGATGATCCCAGGGGCTGCGCCGCACTTGATCACTCCCTCAAGTCTCTTGACCGTCGGATCTCCCAGTACGTGTCTTCGGACCACCCGATCTGGGCTGATTCTGCTGACTCCGCTGCCTTCCTCGACGCCATTGATGAGCTAATCGCTACCTTGGCCGAGTGGAGCCCGGTGGCCGCGGATAAGACCGTTAGCGCGTGCCTGGTACGCGCCGAGGATATACTCCAGCAGGCCATGTTTCGCGCTGAGGACGAGTTCAGGACTCTGATGGAACTTGGTGGCGAGTCGTTTGACCTGACTCGAGCATATGGGAATGGCGAGTCGGCTGGCAACCTGTCGTTTGACTCGGAGGAGGACGAAGACCATGAAGTTGAAGGCGTCATAGGGAACGGTGAGGATGACCAAATTCCGGTGGCGCAACCTGTGGCCGATTTCGACATTGTCATCGATGCGCTGCCATCGGCTACGATCAACGATCTTCACGAAATCGCAAAGCGCATGGTAGTTGCTGGGTTTGGGAAGGAGTGCTCGCACGTCTATAGCAGCTGCCGCCGAGAATTCTTGGAGGAGAGCTTTTCGAGGTTGGGGTTGCAGAAGCTCAGCATTGAAGACGTTCACAAGATGCAGTGGCAGGACCTCGAAGACGAGATTGAAAGGTGGATCAAAGCTTCCAATGTGGCTCTCAGGATACTATTCCCCAGCGAACGGCGACTCTGTGATCGCGTCTTTTTGGGTTTCTCCGCAGCTTCCGATCACTCTTTCATGGAGGTCTGCCGAGGATCGACTATTCAACTTCTGAATTTCGCTGATGCGGTGGCGATTGGGAGCCGATCTCCAGAGAGATTGTTCAGAATTTTAGACGTTTTCGAGACGTTGAGGGATCTAATTCCAGAATTTGAATCGTTATTCTCCGATCAGTACTGTTTATCTCTCAGAAACGAGGCACTCACAATCTGGAAGAGGCTAGGTGAAGCAATCAGAGGCATTTTTATGGAACTGGAGAATTTAATTCGTCGCGACCCGGCAAAATCGGGCGTTCCTGGTGGCGGGCTTCATCCGATTACCCGCTATGTGATGAATTACCTGCGCGCCGCTTGCCGGTCCAGGCAGACACTGGAGCAAGTATTCGAAGACAGTGGGCTTCCACTGAAGGATTACCCCAAGCTTGACGATTCTTCGTCTTCACTATCTGTGCAAATGGCTTGGATTATGGAACTGCTAGAGAGCAATCTCGAAGCGAAATGCAAAATTTACAAGGACTCTCCATTATGTTCTGTTTTCATGATGAACAACGGAAGGTACATTGTTCAGAAGGCAAAAGATAGTGAACTGGGAACCCTATTGGGCGATGATTGGATCCGTAAGCACACTGCAAAAGTCCGACAATACCATGTGAACTATCAGAGAAGCTCGTGGAATAAGGTTCTGAGCTTGTTGAAGGTAGATAATGGTTCACTGGGGGGACCTAATGCTGCTTCGAAGACTATGAAAGAGAAGCTCAAATTGTTCAACGCGCAGTTTGAGGAAATATGTAGGGTTCAATCTACGTGGTTTGCGTTCGATGGGCAACTAAGGGAAGAGATTAGAATTTCCCTGGCAAAAGTATTGGTGCCGGCATATGTAAACTTCATTTCAAGGTTTCAGAGCCTTCCAGAAGTAGGGAAGCAAGCTGATAAGTATATTAAGTATGCAGTGGAGGACATTGAAGCAAAACTCAACCATTTGTTTCAGGGAAGCAGTGGATCAATGGGGAGAAGGTGAAACCTAAAGTTACTGTTTGTTGTGTGTATGTATTTGGTAGTGTAAGTTAGAATGCTTAGAGTTTTGATTTCATCAGATTCTAGTCTTTAAGGATTGTGTACCTGTTATCTGTACACCAGCATCTTTTCTGCTGAGCTTCATTTTTTCCTTTCTTCCATCATTTTATACTATTTATTCCAAGGCAAAGATTCAACAATCCTTTGGCCAAAATCGCGGAACTATTCGTATGTTATAACGAATGCCGATGTTGGCCTGAAAAGTTAAGGCTGAAACCATCTGGGCTATGAGAACTTAAAAAATTTGCTGTAAAGTTAGGTTGCAAATTGGCGTTCTCTTTCAAATGTATGCTTAAAACAGCGAAAGAAGCTTGATGAAGCAATATTGGAAATCTCAGAAATTGTTTAGGGAGGGACATTCGCCGCTATTTGAGTTAAAACGAGCTCTCTAAAACTCGATTTTGAATGGCGGCAAACGAGATTTGGTTTCTCATCTTTGCTTTTGTAAGTTAGTAGAAAAGGAGACAAAGCTAGTCAAATTGAGTAGCTCAAGACGTTCGTTCATGCAGAATATAGTGCTTTATTTTTCACCAAAAAAACCAAAAAAGAATATAGTGCTTTATTAAAAGGAAAGACACCTAACACTGCGCCCTGCTCCAGTGGCCCTGCGTTCCATTCTACCCGCTTTTCTGTAACACACACACACACATGTATATATTTATACTTGTGCTGCCAACTAAAGACGAAAAGAAGATTCTCTGAAGTTGCCTCCTCTGAAATCTGAATACGGCCGACGCAGTATTGAATGACAGCGATCATTGAATCAATCTTGCTGCACCAAGATAGAAGAACAAAAACGAAAAAATAAATAAATCGACTCATTTGCAAACAATTGACACTAATTCAAATTCCAATTCAGGTAATCAGATATCAGATGTTAACTCGAAAAGTTGTAAAATTATCGAAAGATATATATGTGTGCGTACACGTATATAAAGGCAAATGCGTTAGCTAGATGAAGGGTCAAGAAGGTCAATAGCAGGGCGTGAATTATGCTATGAGCAAACTTGGCAATTACAGACTCCATCTTTGTGATGTATAAATTATGTTTTTACTGAAGTTTCCTGTAATTTTCTGTGGACAAAAATAAAATGTTGTTTCCCTTTAAAAAATATCTTAATTGCAATATATATCATAATCATGGTTCTCAAATCTCATCTTTCTTCGCCGGGAAGCGTATGACCAATCTCTACACGACAAATATATAAAATGCAGGCAATAGCTGCATGGTTTGGAACGGTGAAAGTGTGATTTGCCGGTGAAACAGGCATCATTGGCACTTGTGAATTTGCATCCCCATAAACCATAATACCTGCAGAGATTGAGTTACTTGGTCATAGCACGAAAGGTCATGTAGCCGTACAAACTAATCCTTTTGATACAGTTGACAGAAGAATAGGTTTTTTATCAATAACAGTGCAGCTCCACAAAATAATCATATAATAACTATAGATACAGATTTATGATCTCAATCATGTCATACAATTTATGATTTATGGATGGTATATTTTTTTTTAAAATAATTTTCTACTAATCATGGCGTATTATTCAACTTGCAGATGAAGGCATAAATTTGTACTGCATTTATTAGGGTGATTGATCCTGTGCATTAATGGGTCATATGTACGTGTGTGTGCAGTAATTAGAATCAGTTTCAATACTCATCATTTTGATGAGCACTCTAAACTTATTAAATTTGAACCGTCTATATCTGATTTGAATTGTTCAGATTTAAAATCTTTAATAATTATTTTTAAAAAAATTAAAAAAAGAAGAAGATAATTACGAGATTATTTTTATTTTAGATTCTATACATTTTAAAATAATTATTTTGAACAAATAAAAATAAAAAAGAATCAAATTCAAACTATATAAATGAGATATAGAGAGTTCAAATTTAATGAGCTTAAGATGTTCATCACAGAAACTGAACCCTGCATTAACCAGAGTGCTTCCTTGCAAGGAGAACTTGTTGTCTTTGAGACAATAGCATTGCGAGCTTTCGATTGGATGATTTGGAGTCTGAGTTTTATTTCTTTACAAACTTCCTATTCTACGCAAACCCAGTGATAACTCGGACGTGAGAGAGATGACAGTTGAAAGATTCTCGCAATCCATCGTTTGATAGACTGATATATAAAGGTTTTGAGTTAATCTTATAGGTACCTGGATAATGGTTTGAAGCGTAATGACTACAAAATCATGGTAGCTACTAGTGTTCGATCAAGATTATATAGAAGCTGGCAGTTAAATTATTAGGCCCCGCACTGATTAAAACCAGAGCATTTTCCAGTGTTGTCTCAGCTTCTTCCTCTCCTGCATTACTCTTACAAGTCCTAGCTAAAGTAATCTCTGGCTGTTTGGACATAGAGATGAGATGGGCCTGACGCAAGGACAAGTCTTCCAACCTGGTTTTCCATCGGAGAACCTTCCAACCAGAGCATTTCTTTGGTTTTACGCACACCAGCTACTTATCATTACCGAACCACGCGTTTATGTGAGAGAAATCGCTGAGCATAAATTATGGCGTGGAATCAGTCACCCGCAGATGGATTGTGTAACTCCATAACTCACTTCTGCATCACGCAACACCTTGCTTGTCTCTGTTCAGTACATTTCCCCCAGAATTCTTTGAAGAAATCTTCAGTGTCCGAGATCAAACGCTTCAATTTCCAATTAATTTCATATATCATTTGGAAGTTTGAAATCTTAGTTTTTAAGGGGCCAAAAAAAGAATTAGGCTTGCATTGACGTGAGATTTTCGCATATTTTGATTGACAGGCAGTAAAAATGAACTAACTTGCCAATGGGATTCCCAATTCTTGAACATAGAAATGGATTTACGGGTAAGGCATGCCGACGACAACTTGCAAATGTGTTCTTAATATGTTAAATGTTTTTGTCCGCGTATTACTGCTTAGTCGTTTGGTGTTGTATCCCTATGCGTCTTTTGGATTTTTTTTCCTTTACACAAAAAATAAATAAATTCAATCTATAAAAAACTTAATTTGGACATAGTTCACAACTACAAACTACTTGAAGATAGAAAAAAATAATGGTTTTATAAAATATAGAATTTTAACCGTTTATTTTTTAATCCAATAATAGGAATGGGATGAGGAGAAAGAAAGATAGAAAAAGGACAAAAAACTCTTTCAACATGAACCCCGACGATTAGATCAGTTGGTTGGAACTGTTCTAGTTTAACCATGAGTCTCGTGTTCAAGATGTGGGAATGTAACATCTTAGGAATCAGGCACGTCAACCTTAATGGTTTCTTGTCATGCCTCAATCAAAATTAGTTGGGCCGTTGATGTGCTTTAAAGATGACCTGTCCCAAGACACCAAGTGCGAAAGCAAAAAAGAAAAAAAAGTCTTTCATCATGGGGAAAGTTTCATTCGGTTGTTGTTTAACAAAGAGATCTAAACCCAAAGAAACGAAGAACATAAAACTAAAGGGGGTTCTCAGACCCCACTAAGACTATATCAGAAGATAACAAAGCGTCCAAATCCACAGGAAGTTTCATGCAAAACACGCAAAAGTAACGACAGAATGATACTTTATTGATCTCTATTAATTAATTAAACAATCTGCATAATGATCAGATGCCAACAGAAGAATTGCGCAGCTGAACAACTGAAGCTTGTGCATGTGACTGGTCCTACCTCAGGACATGATTTACAAATATATTTCGCTGCTATTGCTATTCACAAACTTGGGCAGCACTTCTGCTTCCATGTACTTTGCAATATACTTGTACGCTGCTTCAGTTGGATGTACACTATCCCAGAATACGAACTTTGAAGACTCCTCACACGTCGGTGTCAGTTCGTTGCACAATGGCCCTGCTTCAACAATGCCACTCCCGCAACACCCTCTCTTCGTTACTTCAAAACCTGTTTGATCAAATGCCCGTGAGACCCATCAGTTCACAAATTTATTGGATAGATGAGGTTTAAGCACGTGAAATTATGATATATCTCACCGAATTTTTCAGGTTGATTTACGAGGTTGGCCAAGGGGTTGTAGATGTCTGTGTAAACAACTCTGCACCCTGGAAGCGTGGCTTGCACATGAAGCAATAGTCTTTCCAGTTTTTTGTTGTAGAGTTCCGAGTCTAAGTTCTCTTGCTCTATGCATTTTCTATCCTTCGGATTCTTAAACTTTGCTGTTATCTGAAGTGGTATGCAACCGATTGGAGGAAGCCCAGCTACAGCTATCTTCCTGCATCCAAGGTCATATAGTTCCTGCAATTTTACACAAGAAGATCTGTTAGATTCAGTTTAAAGTGTCCTAACTTGTTCTTCTGTGACCTGTTAAAAGAACTAGGCAATGCTTAAAGATTTTATAAAGCCCTTACCTTTATAAAGATTTGCAGCCTATTCTGCAGAAAATCTTGGTATCCATCTATGTCAAACTCGTATTTTCTGGTGGGAATATCATAAAAATTGAAACTGAAGTCATTAGTTCCCGCACTGATGATAACCAGAGCGCGTCCAAGTATCTTCTGAGCTTCTTCTTTCCCCACAATGCACTTAATTTTTTCCACATATTCTCTGAAGTGCTCAATTTGCTTGGAAACGGGGATCACTCCAGAAGCAACCGTAGTCAAGTCATCAAGTCCTGATCCGCCAGAGGCAAAGCTAACCCCAGTTAGAAGTTCATGATCTGATAGATTCGGGTCTAGATAAGGAGGGACGGTGTCTTTGATGTCTAGAAGAGAGGCAATGAAGTCTGTGACCAATTTTCCATTGGAAAATCTACCAGTGGGAACGTGACCAGGGAAATCTCTGCCATAAGGGAAATGATTTCCCTTAAACAATGTCTCAATGAAGTTGTTGTTGCCCGGGTCGACTGTTGAATCTCCAAACACTAGAATGGATGAGAACTTGGGTTTCCAGGCATGGCTTGTAGCAACAAGAATGGTGAATATGTGCACCAGAATGAAGTGGGTCGTGGGGGATGCCATTGCAGAGTCTTCTCTCGGCCCGTAAGCGAGGGTTTGTTTCTCTTTGGTGCAATAATTAATATCAAGCCAAAAAATAATATTATCAAGCAAAAAGCTCCTTTCTTTGAGACAGATTTTTTGAATTGCAAGAGAACCATTTTCAAGGGACCAAACGTGAGATAGAGGCTAAGCCAACCATTTTAGGTAATGAGAACGACATGATGGAAGTTTGTGGAACTGGTCATGATCGTGCTTTTGCTTCAGCACAATCTCTAGCGAATTTCTCTTAGCATTACCTAGCATCATTTTTCTAATATAAATAACTAGGATTATTCTGTTGCACTTCACCTATCAAGATTTCAATATCAGAGGATAGATATAATAAGAATTTTGCCAAGTTAGTTAAAGACAATATTATCAATTAACAAACCAATTTAACCTTGAAAGACAAGCATTATTAACTTACCAAAAAAAACAAAAAAGACATTAATTACAGAGTGTGTGCTTTGTGCAGACTGCAGAATATTTATCCCCTTGAAAAAAAAAACAAGTGAGTAAATGCTGGACAGGTGCGGGAAATGCAATGGATAACTCTGTTGATTAATGTTCAAGTTCTTACTTTACCCATCAATTCAATGTGAATCTTAATATATAATACTCCAGTTCTAAATATAAGATTCATTTTATAGTGTAATTTATACTACAAAATAAATTTTACATTTAGGACAGGAGGAATAATGAATAATTTTGAAATATCTGGTGTTAAAGTTTTAGCAAACCTACTGTAAACCTTTGTTAAATTTGAGTACGCATTCAGCAGTGAATAACATTGCTTTGTCGTGTACTTGATCAATGAACAAGAAAAAGAGCAATCTGCAAGTCAAAAAATCGCAAAATGCATTACCAAAAATAAAGCCTAAAAATGCATTAATGGAATTGACTTGTCGTCTTAGGGTGTGTTTGGTTGGAGGGGAAGGGAGGGAAAATGAGCCCCTCCCCTCATTTGGTTAAAAATTTTGAAAGGGAAGGAAGCTAAAATGTCCTCTCCCCTGCTCTCCCTCCCCCCATTTTGGCTCCCCTCCAAATTGGGGGTTTTTGGAGGGGAGCCAAATTTTTGGACTATTATGTCCTTATAGTTTTTTTAATATTCCACTTCTACCCATAAAACATATTATTATAATATTTATTTCAAATAAAAAATATATTATCCTAAGTAAAAAAATAAAAAATATATACATTATTATAATTAAAAATATATTATAAAAATTATTTAAAAATAAAAAAATTATTTAAATAAAAATTATAATATTATAAAATTAATTGTTTTTTATAAATATATTATTTATTAAATATATTTTAAAGCTGGAAAAAAAATAGCCTAAAGAGAATAAAATTTCATTTTTCTTAGAGCATATAAAATTTGTTAATTTGATTATTTTAAATATATTATTATATTAATCAGAATAAAAAATTACTGTACCAATTTTTTAATACACATATTAACATGATAAGACTGAATTTTTATTAAATTATATGATTTAAATTAAGATGTAAATTAATTTATATAATATATCAATAAAAAACATAAACTAATATGTAAGGGTCAAATGGTAAATTGATTATTACTATCCCTCCCCTCCCCTCCTTGAACCAAACAAGGGATCATTAAATATCCTCTCCTTCCTTCCTTTTTAATCAAACCAAATAAGGTGAGGATGAAACCTCCCCTACCCCTCCCTCCTCTCAAACCAAACAGGCCTTTGGAAGCAAGATAGAGATAAGAAAAGATCCTCTCCTTGCCTAGTTGGGCTCGTCATTAATAAGATGGGGTCTCTGTCCTTACGCCTATGGAGTACTTTGAGGGCCCTTACAAGACTGTCATATTCAGTTCTGGTTGCAGCTCCAAAAGTTGCAGGCCTACTTAACAAACCCATTAAAAACATCATTGATTGCTGGTCCAATATGATAAATGTTTTAGGCTATTGAAAGTCCAGTTGTAAAGGAGCCATTTAGTGGCAAGATATTTGGTTGCGTTAGATTACAATTCTGGAATGTACAGATAATAAAGTAAATGGGTTAAAGTCAATTTTGCTTCTGGAATTTTTTTTAAAGTGTGCTTGGCACCCTAAGGGTGTGTTTGTTACGAGGGATTTGAAGGAAAAGAAAGAGAGGGAGAAGGATTTGATATAGTACAAGTTGTGCCTGAATATTACTCCAGCTTTCTTTCCAATAATACTTCATGCTCTAGAGTATATTAGAATTTTGGTATAAGTATTGCTCAATATATAAATATTATTTACAATTCTATTTTATTAAATTTTATAAAATTTGAAAAAATAATTTTAAATAAAATAAGGGCAAAATTATTCATGTTAAAATATTTTTTCCTCCCCTCCCCTCACGAACCAAACAAGATAATATTAAAACTCCTTTCCTCCCCTCCCTTTTTATAAATCCAAACAGAGTAACATTAAAATTCTTCCACTCTCCTTTCCTTTATTAAAATCCCTCTTCTCCCTTTCCTCTCATTGAGCCAAACAGACTCTAAAATTAAGAGTGGTGCTGTGTGGCCTCTTAAATATTCAGAAGGGTGTAATATTATCCTATTACTAAATGTCTAGTATTTTGAAAGTTGACCGTAAAGGCACTATCCTTAACTTTTGGGCACCCACTACGCTTAAGTTATGAGAGCAAAATTGGACTTCAACTCTGAAGTAATTAGTAAGATTTCGTAAATTTGATGAAGTTATATATGCCCAAGATATCCGACCTGCATAAGGACTTATCATAAATTTGCAGGTCTTGGTTAGAGCATGGCTGGTTTTTATGTCAGTTTTTTTCCTGTGTTTCCTGTAATACCACTTTTCAAAACGACTTCAAGATGCCATTCAATGTCTTTAAACATCCATCTGGTATATAATAATCAGAAAGAGAAGGAAGTACAATCTGACCTGCTACTGATATACTCCCACTCATCAAATTAATTAACAATGTGGCAAAAAGCTGAAGATATATGCATTCACATTGTATATATGCTTAACTTTGTGCTTTCAGAAATGCGCCGAACAATCTTTTTAATTAATCTAACTATTATACACGTAGGATCTCTGTCTGATATCCACTCCAAATATGATTCTATGTGCCTTTCATTTCTTCATTGTTAATTAGGATTTGTTTTAGGTTTTAGGTATAGTACAACATTTAAAATGCAATTAGTACTCTATTGCTTTCCAGCCTCGCCTGTTATTGAGGCCTTGGCCTTTTTTCTTTTCCGTCATTAATGCATATGTAGTTTTCGCATTAGTCCATGTATCTAAACACTTAAACGTGTGCATGTATTGGCTTTCCTAGCTTGAATCTATTTTTTATTTTGAAATCTTGGAATCATACATATATACACACCGTTTGATTCAGATATATACTGATCTGGTTGCTGTAATAATGGATACGTAAAATTTATAAGCTAATTCCCATCTAGCCCTTACGTTGATGGATACTCATACAATGGATCAGAAACAAAACTATCAAAGGTCAATTTCAAGATTTCAATACATGCAACGATGATCAAGCTCGTCTTGAGCCAACTATGTTTGGATATTGAGGATAGATAAATATAGAGAAACACATCAGGTTGATGGAAGAAAAGGCAGGTTCCGTATACCACACACTAGAAGTTGAATCTACAAAATCTAACTAGTTATATACACATTATTTGCCCTTTAGGATGATATCAGATAAGAAAATCAAAACAAAAAACCATAGATTCAGGAACACAAGCGTGGGTCCCTGAGAAAAAATAGCCATAAGGTGATGCCCTAATAATCTGGCCAACTATTTCATGATTTGGATGGTGCCGGAAATCATGCCTTGCTTGTTCTTCTTGCCTAGTGATCCTCATTTCACCAATTGCATTTCTGGGTCCCTTCCCACTTTAATTTGATGTGCTTGTTTATATCAGCCATGTAACTTCTGCTTCCTCCTTCCTATGTGTGTATATATATAAATATATATATATATATATATATGAATATATTTACACACTTGTCAATTATTAATTGATCTTTACAAAACAATCTAACCAAAAAGTTGTGGATGAAAATGCTTTATATGTCTCAGGTCATCAATATTAATTATGGCGCTATCTTTTTTAGCTCCTAGTTTTTCACATGTCTTAGTTCTTTTTAAAAGGTTTACCTTTTTTTTTTTATAAATGTACTTCATATATTTTTCCATGTATTTAACGTTTAGTTCAATCGGTCATTAAGACGAATGTTCTACACAAAAATAATGTGGTCAATAATCGTTGTGCGGTGAAAATAATGATGCTTCCTATTGTACTTTTAAAAAAAAGACCACAACAAATTTAAAAAATGGAAATACGTAATGTTATTGATCTTCAAAGCTAGAAGAGTTCGATCATTGACGGGTCTTCACTTTAAATTAGCTAAGGAATCATGTATGATATTTTGTAAATTCTTTGATGCATATTAAAAAATAGAGATTGCCACTCAAACAAAATTATTGTTTTGATATTAATTAGTTTGAACCCAATAAATCATCCCTTTAAAATGAGATAGGCTCAAGTTATCATGTGCTTATGGCCATGGTAAGAAAAGTGAAAGTGAGATGTTAATATACATATTGACTAGTTTAAAATAAAAATATAAAAAAAATACTGAAAATTGATACCCAATCAACATATTGTTACATGTCATTATCACGTATTTCTTTAATATGGCACATAATAATTATATCAGTGCTACTACTTTCACTGGCAAAGATGCAACAAAGAGCTTTCGTTTTTTCCCAAAAAAAAATTATAACGAAATCATTCTTTGATGTTTAACAATTAAAATAATTGAGTCAAAATCATCTCCAAAATAATGAAAGAATAATCGATCGAAAAGTAACTTATTAACTACTTTCTGATGTAAGTTCCTAAACGGATCATGCAGATCAGGGTTTGCAAATGTTAGCAAAAATATGTAAAATTACTTGATACAATGAATTTATCACAAAAGAACAGATGCGAGATCTTTTG